ACAGAGACTAACCCACAAAACTACAATTATCTTATATTTGACAAAGGTGCCAAAAACAGATATTGGAGAAAAAAACAGCCTCTTCAACAAATGGTGCTGGGAAAAGTGGAAATCCATACAACAAAGTGAAATTAAACCCCTATCTCTCACCATGCACAAAACTCAACTCAAAGTGGATCAAGGACCTAGGAATTAAACCAGAGAACCTGTGGCTAATAGAAGAAAAAGTAGGCCCTAATCTCCATCATGTGGGATTAGGCCCCCACTTCCTTAATAAGACTCCTAAAGTGCAAGAATTAAAACCAAGAATCAATAAATGAGATGGACTCAAACTAAAAAGTTTCTTCTCAGCAAAAGAAACTATCTGTGAGGTGAATAGAGAGCCTACAGCTTGGGAGAAAAGTTTTACCCCTCACACATCAGATAGAGCACTAATCTCTAGGGTATATAAAGAACTCAAAAAGCTAAACACCAAAAAAACAAATAACCCAACCAACAAATGGGCCAAGGACCTGAAGAGACACTTCTCAGAAGAGGATATACAATCAACAAATATATGAAAAAATGCTCATCATCTCTATCAATTAGAGAAATGCAAATCAAAACCACTCTAAGATTTCATCTCACTCCAGTCAGAATGACAGCTATTATGAAGACAAACAATAATAACTGTTATCAAGGATGTGGGGGGAAAAGGCACACTCATACATTGCTGGTGGGACTGCAAATTGGTGCAGCCAATATGGAAAGCAGTATGGAGATTCCTTGGAAAACTGGGAATTTGACCCACCTATCCCTCTCCTCAGTCTCTACCAAAGGATTTAAAAACAGCATACAACAGAGATACAGCCACATCAATGTTTATTGAAGCACAATTCATAATAGCTACGCTGTGGAACCAACTTAGATGCCTGTCAGTAGATGAATGGATAAAAAAAATGTGGTATATATACACACAATGGAATATTGCTCAGCAATAAAAGAGAATAAAATCATGACATTTGCAGGTAAATGGATGGAGTTGGAGAAGATAATGCTAAGTGAAGTTAGCCAATCCCCCCAAAAAATGCCGAATATTTTCTCTGATATAAGGAGGCTGACTCATAGTGGGATTTGCAGAGGAAGCATGGGAGGATTACTTGAACTCTAGATAGGGCAGAGGAGTGGGAGGGGAAGGGAGGAGGGGGCATGGGGTTAGAAATGATGGTGGAATGTGATGGACATTATTATCCAAAGTACTTGTATAAAGACATGAATTGATGTGAATATACTTTGTATACAACCAAAGATCTGAAAAATTGTGCTGTATATGTCTAATATGAATTGTAATACATTCTGTTGTCATATATTTAAAAAATTAACAAAAAAAGAAAGAAAATATATACCCTATAGCCACGCCCCCAATGAACCACTTCCTCCAGCCACACCCCACCCGCCTCCAGTTACCACCCAGTTAATCCCATCATGGATTCATTCACTGATTAAGTTAAAGCTATAAAATGGTCATTTCTCCTCCAAACCTTCTTGCATTGTCTCACATGTGAGCTTTGGGGGGATATGACTCTAAACCATAATACTTATGTTAGTGAATCTTTATCATGAATCTTTATCCAGTGACTCCAGTGTTGTGACATTATTTGACTGACCCAACATCCATTCCCAAGCTCCTTCTCCTTGGTTATCTTCCTTTATAAAGTTTAGGAAATCTAAAAACTCACTTTCATAGTCTTTCTTGCAGCAATGAGTGACTTCAGGAAAACTTTTACATTCTTAGTTTAAAAAACAGAAACAATTGGGACTACCTCTTCATCTCTCTTCCTATCTTGGATGAGTATGTGATCTCAGGAACTGTGCAGCCATCTTGTGACTATAAAGCACCAAGCTTGGAAGATGGAGAGAGTTTTGATGACACCATTAAACCTCTACATCAATTCTAGACTGCCTACCTCTAATCTTCTTAAGTGAGAAAAATAAACAAATAATTGCATATTCATTTAAGTCTCTGTTTTCTAACTGCTTTCTAACTGGTACATACACTCTTTCCCTAAAAATATAAAGAAAGAAACAAATAAAATCAGTATGTTGAAAAATGATTTAGTGAGTACCAATGGCTATGGAAATCACTTGGCAAAAGTTGATGAAAAAATTGTTACAATATAGGATCAGGCTGAGAGCACTTGAACCCTGGTCAAACTGAACAAAAAAGAGCAACAATTATGTGCACCTGGTGTGCACAACTGTGGGCACTCAACACTCTTTATGAAGAGGTTTTGCACAAAACTAAACTGAAATTTTACCAAACCCCTTAAGTTAATTCCAGATTACATAAAATACAAAGGAACCAGGAAAAAGTTAAACACTAGCATGGGAATGCCATCAGGAACTCCAGAATGTAGAGAGTTCTATAGAACGTACCATGATTCTTCAACATCTGAAGAACAAGGGAGAGTACCCCTCCCCCCATCCTGCCAAAAAAGGAAAAACTAGCAATGGAACAAAAGAGGGAAACTATCCATTAAAGGAGCTAAGAGACATATCAGTCCAATGCTGTGTTTCAACTCTGTTTAGTACCTTTTTCAAACAGACCCACACTTTAAAAAACTTACCAGGCCTGGTGATGTAGCTCAGTGGCAAAGCACCTGCCTAACATCTGAGAGGCCCAAGGTGCAACTCAAAGAAGAAAAAGAAAAACCTATTAAACAACCTCATGGGAGAATTTGAACACTGACTGGATACTTGATGTTATTGAAGGATTACTGTTAATTTTTACCTATAGCAAGAGTATTGTGGCAATATATTTTAAAAAGCTAAGTCCCTAAGATACTGCAGTAGCAGTCCAATTAATGAAGATAGAAAGAATGGTAGAAATAGGAAATCACCATGTGGCAGACACCACAGTCATAACAATTGTTCAGGCAAAAGTCAATAGATGATAAATTTAGTAAATAAAAGTAAAAAAAAAAGAAATCTGAAATGTGTGTGGTCTAAAAGTATCTTCCCATAACTGTAAGGGGAAAAACAGGACTTTACAGAACTATCTGTAGTGCACACCTATATTAATATCCCAAGGCTACTGTAACAAATCACAAAAATTTTAATGGCTTAGAATAACACACTATGTATTAGCTTATAGTCTAAAAGGTCAGAAGTAAAAAAAAAATTTCCTTCTATTTCTAGTTTGCCTGTTTAAAAAAAGAAATCCCAAAGCACATATATGAAAATTAATAAGAGCATTGTAGCAAAGTTACTGGACACAAGACAGAAAAATAATAGTTCTACATACCCACAAGTTTTAATTGTAACTTTAAATATGGCATTTATAAGAGCATCAAAAATACTTAAAAATATCCAGCAATAAATCTAATAAAAGATGTGCAAGAGTTGAGTGGTGACTATTATAAAACTTCACTGAAACTACTGAAGATGTAAATAATCTGAGAAAGATGTCGTGTTTATATATCAGAACAGCGGTTCCTAAACTTCAGTATCATTGGTACCCTAAAACACTAGAGGACCCCAAAGAGATTTTGTGTGAGTGAAGTCTATCTCTGTTTACCATATTGAGTTAAAATTGATATTAAAAATATGTATTAATTCATTGAAAAATAACAAACTCATCATGTGCTAACATGAATAACATTTGTATGAAAAATATTTATATTTTTAAAATAGTGAGCTCTCTATTCTGGCCCAGATTGCTTGGGAAGTGGAGGGCCCTCTGCACACAATATTATTTCCACTTGGAAAGAACCAGGGAGGAGCCAGCCCTAAGGGCTGTAGGGCTCTTCAGTTCTTGCTGCAACAGCTACTGCTACTAGAACAATTTCTAGCACCAACTGCACTAAATTCTCCTGATGGTAACTTCCATGTGTTAGCCCCTTTTTGAGCCAAATCCCATAGGAAGAGATTTAGAATTCTTGTTTAAATTTCTCACTATAAGTGTAGGTATTAACAGCATTTTACAGGTCAAGAAATTGAGATGCAAAGAAGTTGGGTACCTTTCCCAAAGCTTCATAACTAGATGTGTGACAGCTGGTCTGAGCTTTGCTTCAGGCCTTTGGGGTTATCATACCTTCCAGCGGCTGTCATAAAATGGGACACTAATATTTCTGTCAGCTACAGAACTCCTCACCCCCGGGGGAGAAGCCATCTCCAACTGCAGCCTCATTCGAAGAGAAAAAAAAAAAAAGGTTTTTAATAGCCTAAAGCCTATCTGAATGGATAGAGTGATTTAGGAACCTGTGCTGGTACTCAGCAAAGCTACTCAGTAGCTCATGATCCAGCCATTCTACTGCTAGGAATTTATCCTGAGGAAATCAGACGTGAGAACACATTTGTTCACAAGGTGCACACTGGAGCGTTACTTATATTAGTAAAAATCATTTGCATGTCCAATGATAAAAACCTGATTAAATTATACATATAGTTCATGTGCACCCATATTATAATAATCATGAAGATGTACTGGGTGATTTACCAATGGCCACTCCCCGTTTTAAGAGCTACATGCATACTAATTCATCTAATCTATGTGAAAGGTTACAGAGTGATCCTTAGGAATAGATAGTACAGGGATGTTCATGAGTTGAAGAAATGTTCATGATCTCTTGTTGAATGAAAAATACACATTACAGAACTGTTTTTAAACTGTAGATGTGAAAAGGCAGTAATCAGGACTACTATGTGAAATTACTGTTTTTATTTTCTTCTTTGTGAACTGAATACTTTTCACCATAATAATCATCTATTGTTTTTTAAAAAATAAATACATAGGGCATAAGATGATGCCTGAGGACCTGATGGTGACAGATCTCTCCAGGAGGCGGGGCCACTGAGAAACAAATAGGAGCCTGAACCTAGCTAGCACCATGTCCAGGGAGCCAATGACCTGGGGGGCTGACCACGGGAGTCCTCAGCAAAGCCAGGAGACCCAACTGGCCCTGGTGGCCCCCGGCCCCGCCCCGGCCCCGAAGCTCCTCCTGCTGCAGCGATCACCAGCGAGGGTGCCCTGCCTTCTGGCCAGCGCTGAAGCAGTTCCAGAGCCGGATACATTCAGGACTGAGATCAAAGGTCTTATTCCAGCTTTAAGAGGCATTCACTGTCCTACTCCTGCTGACTCCTCAGCCCTGCGCTCCAGAAAGGCCATTTCCTTCTGATTCCCCATGTTTCCATGATGCTTTTTCCTCCCTTTCTATATTTTCCAAACTTGCCTTTCCCATTCTCTGCTTCCAAAATGCATTTTCTTTATTCTGAGCAGAGGAATGATGCTGACAAAAACGACCACAGTGTTTATACACCTGCTATAAATCTAAGTGTAGTAGCAAGAATTAAGCAATTTCTTCAAGATCAGCCCAGGCTGTCTGTGATACTGGCAAAGCACTTCTGTATCCCTGACCTCCCCAGATCGGTGAGGCTGGCTGGGCAGGTAAGATGGTCTTTGTTTTAGAGACAGAAAGCCGAGTGAGTCTGGTTGCTGGGAAATGGGAAGTGGGTGGTGGTGGGGAGGCCTAAGAATCCAGGTCTCCCGAATCCTCCTGGGTACAGAAAGCATTGTCTTTGTGGCACACTTGTCCCCACTACCTGAGTCTGATTCAGATCAATCTGAGGTTCGGAAATTTCATCTCCTCTCTAAAATGCAATTCTGAATTCCTCAGTGCCCAGGAAAGGCACTGACAGAGCCGGCAGTCTGTGGATGGAGGATCAGATATAGGTATACACGTGTGTGATCTATTTGAATCCATAAGCCTTGTGAAAAAGCAACTGCCAACAAGTGGGGCTTAAAGAGATTTCAGGTTAAATTCAAGGAGAAATAAACAATGTTGCTCCTACAAACAAATAAGCAAAACCCTACCCAGATCCTGTGGATGAGGAATAGAAGTGTCCCTATTGCAGAGGTGTGACCTTTGGCCCCTGTTATGTGGAACTAAAACTACCTCCAGTGGAGTCCTGTGTTCTAGGGTGGATGTACTGATAAGCCAGTGCACAGTGATTACTTTTGAGTCTGAGCGGCCTGTCTCCCTGCCTCCTGCAGTCTTAGACTGTTGTTTAAAATATCTGACTTATTTCTTCCTTACAAAACCCTCCTGGACCACGAGTTTGTTGTACTGTGTTGGCAGGTTGGGCCCTGGGACTCACCTCTTCCCTACCTTTCTTATAAAAGTGGCTTGACAACTTCCAGTCAGTGCCTCAGGAGAGGCTGAAAGCAGCAGCAAAGTGGAAAGAATTTTCAGGGAATCCTCAAGCTAGATCCTTGGTGTGACTTAACCTGTCACTAGGACTGGGGCTCAGCCTACTCTTAGTGGCCCTGAGCTCAGCCAGGTCCCTGTGTCCTGCTCAAGGCTTGGCAGAAAAGAGAGCATCAAAAGCATGAATCCAACTTGAGGAGCTGCCTAGAAAAGATCTCTGAAAATATATTTTTGACACACACCTGACCGACATTCTTTTCTTTTCACAGGGGTTGTGGCACTCCGCTGGGGAGATGGCACTTATGAAGGAGTATGTGACTATATTTTTGTTTTATTTTCATACACAGGGGTTGACGGAATTAAAGAATTGACACCTTTTGCACCCATGCTCCAGACAGCTCATGAGTCAAATTGGTCCACACATGTATCCACCCTTCTTCGAGCAATTCATGCCTTAAATGTGTAGGAATTGAACCACATTTTAAATTCATCTATTAAATTTGAAGTTAATGAATTCCACTATGAATTATTTTAAAGTAATTAGCTCCCCAATTTTTTTGTAAACAGCTTTGTCAAGATACTTACTTGCCTTATGCTTCATCCATTTAGAAATGTGCAAGTCTGCTGGCCAGGTGGTCCATGCCTGTAATCCCAGTGGCTTAGGAGGCTGAGACAGGAGGATCTCAAGTTCAGAGCCAGCCTCAGCAAAAGCAAGGCACTAAGCAACTCAGTAAGATCCTGTCTCTAAATAAAATACAAAATAGGGATGGGGATGTGGCTCAGTGATCTAGTGCTCCTGAGTTCAATCCCCGATACCCCCCCAAAAGAAAGAAATGTGCAAGTCAGTGGTTTTAGGTATATTCACAGTTATGTGGCCATCCTATAATCAATCTTAGAACATTTTCATCACCCCTGAAAGGAACCCTGCACCCTTCAGCTACCACTTTCCAGTGGTAGACAATCACTAATCTTCTTTCTATCCTTATAGATTTACCTGTTGTGGACTGTTCATATAAATGGAATCATGAAATCTGTGGTCTTTTGCAAATGATTTGTTTCATTTAGCACAGTGTGTTCAAGGTTTTCTATGATTGATTTGTGACAATAATATTCCCTTGTAGGAATATATTATATTTTGTTCACCTATCACTTAATGAACTTTGGATTCTTTCTACCTTTGGGCTCTTATGAATAATGCTAATATGAATGTTTATGGGCAAGTTTTTCTGTGTACACATGCTTTCCATTTTCTTGGGTATATACCTAGGAATGTGTTAAAATAAATAATTGGGAGGCCTTAGGCTGAGACATACCCAGTACCTTGGGTTCCTTTAATAAGCTAACTTAAACATAACTCAATGTAAACAGCAAAGGAAAACTTGAGTTCCACTGATCAGAAATCACCAACTACTCTTCAACTAGAGACTTTGCCAATCAGAAAGCTACAACTAACCTCCAACTAGGGACTTTCCACTTTAACCAATCAACTTTATTCTTTGTCCTGTTTCCCTGAACACCCTCTAAAAGTTTCTTCTTGTGACCTCTTGCTGAACTTCATGCCAATTCATGAATCACTGAATGCTCAAACAAACTTGTTAAAATTTTAATGAGCCCAGGTTTATCGTTTAACAAGTGGAATTGTTGGGTCAAATTGTATCTTTACGTTTTGGAGAAATTGTCAGACTATTTTCCAAAGTGGATGCACCATTTCACATTTCTACCAGCAATGTATGCTCTCTCCATAGCCTAACACCTGTTATTATCTGGCTTTTTGATTAAAACCATCACAGCAGGTATGAAATGATATCTCATGGTTTTGATTTGCATTTCCCTTAGTAGTGCTAAGCATCTTTTCATGCATTTGTACATTTGAACATCTTCTTTAGACAAATGTCTGACACCCTTTGTCCAGTTTTTAATTTTTTTTAAAATATTTATTTTTTAGTTGTAGTTGGACACAATATATTTATTTTATTCATTTTTATGTGGTGCTGAGGATCAAACCCAGGGCCTTGCATGTGCTAGGCGAGCACTCTACTGCTGAGCCCCAGCCCCAGCCCCACTTTTTAATTTTTAATTCGGTTCTTTATCTTATTATTGAGTTACATGTGTTTTACATACAGGTCCTTTATCAGATATATGATATGCTGTATTTTCTCCCATTCTGTATAATGACTTTCACTTTCTGGGCAGTGTATTTTGAAGCACCAAAGTTTTTAATTTTGATGAAGATTATTTTTTCTTTTGTTATTCATGTTGTTGATGTCATATTTCATAAACCATTGCCAAATCCAAGGTCATGAAGACTTACCCCTCTGACTTCTTTCAAGAGTTTCTAGTTTTATCTCTTATATTTAGGTCTTTGATCCACTTTGAGTTAATTAGGAGTTGAAGTTAGTTCTTTTGCATTTAGATATCCAGTTGTCCCAGCACCATTTGTTGAAAAGACTATTTCTTCTCATTGAATTGTTTTGACACTCTTGTTGAAAATCAGTTGACTATAAAAGCAAGGACTTACTTCTGGATTTTCCATTCTATTCCTTTACTCTGTATGTCTGTCTTTATACCAGTATCATACTATCTTGACTACTACATATTTGTAGGTTTTTAAATCAGGAATGTGAATCTCCAACTTTTTTTTTAACATATGTTTTTAGTTATTAATGGACCTTTATTATACCTATCTATCTACCTATTTATTTATATGTGATGCTGAGAATCAAACCCAGTGCCTCACACATGCCAGGTAAGTGTTCTACCACTGGGCCACAACCCCAGCTCCTGTTCTTCCTTCTCAATGGAAAAAGCTGTTTAAGTTATTCTGGGTCCCTTGAGTCTTTATGTGACTATTAGTACAAGCTTGCTCAGTTTTGCAAAGAAGCCAGCTAGGGGCCTTCCAAAGATTGTGTTAAATCTATAGACCAATTTGGGAAGGATTTCCACCTCAACATTTAGTCTTCTAATTCATGAATATGGGATGTCTATTCATTTAAATCTTCTGACATCTGTCAACAATATTTTATAGTTTATAGAGGATAAGTTTTATACTTCTTTTATTAAATTTATTTCCAAGTATTTTGTTCTTTGTATAATATTATGAATGGAGATTGCTTTTCTTAATTTGATTTTTAAATTTTCATCATAAATGTACAGAAATTTAATTTCTTTTTGCATATTGTGCTTGTAATCTGTACATTAATTAACTCATTTATTAGTTCTAATAGTTCTTTAGTGGATTCTTTAGGATTTTCTATACACAAGATAATATCATCTTCAAATAGAGATAGTTTACTTCTTCCTTTTCAATCAGCATGCATTTAATCTCATTTTCTTATACTACTATTTTTTTATTTTGTGCTGTTATTTTATTATTTTATTTTATTTTTGTTATTTCATGTTATTGATTTTGTTTTATGTTATTTTGGGATTTTATTTTATTTATGTTGCCCAGGCTGGTCTCAAACCCATAAACTCAAGTGATCCTCCCTCCAGAGTAGCTGGGATTATAGATGTGAACCAGCACATCTGGTCAATCCTAATTTTTTTTATAAGTTATATTCCATGTATGTATAACTTTGTTTTATTTATTCATTTTTATGTGGTGCTGAGGACCGAACCCAGTGCCTTATATGTGCTAGGCGAGTGCTCTTCCACTGAGCCACAACCTCAATCCTAATTTTTAAAAGTAAATCCTAATGCTCATATTTTGGTTTGCTTAAAACAAAGTCAGAAGAGAAAATAGGGGGAAAAAAGAAAACAAAGTTCAATGTTAAGTACACCTCATTAAAACTGCTTTTAAGAAAACTAACTTATCTTAAAGCCATCACACAGAGGGAAGGAAAGTATTTAATATGCTAGTCCATTTTCTTATAAGTTTTTTTCTAGGTGTCTATTTGGATGTTGAGCTATAAATAAAATTGAACTCATACTTTACAGGTAATTTACAATTCTATTCTGGGAAACTTATTGTTCAGTCAAGCCCTTTTCAGAATTAAGACAATTTATGAATGCCTTTAAAAAAAAAAATCATAGCCTCATGGGATGAGGGTATTCTGGAGGGTTTGTGGGTAAGGCTGACCCCAACCCTGCTCAGTGACCCATGGCCACCAGTAATGGCACCCTGCCACAGAGCTTCCAACAGCCTTTCCACCCATGAGGAGAGAATGGTCCCTTCTGTGGGGTGAAAATGAGGATCCCACTGGCTTCCTGGATTTCTTGGACTCTTTTAAATATTCAAATACCCCTCATGTCTGTTTTCTTCTGGTGTTCTTTAATCCATAGACGAGGGTCCAGAGGCTGTTGGAAATGACCTTAAGGCCAGGGGCATTAGAATGTGGGAAGATAAAACCCTGCCCACGACCTGGCTGGGGAGCTATCACCTCTTCAATCGCTGATAGCCAGTCGCCCTGTGGTTTGCCAGGAATGAACCTCTCCCTCTGCATGATCCTGGGCTGATCTCCTCTGGCCCATGAGGTATGAAAAGCAAACCAATCAGCTGTGGGATAGAAAACAATTTGTCCTGCCAGATTTCTTTCTAGTAGGTTCTTTGTGTGGCTTGTTGGTGCTTTTGCATGTCTCTCCAATCATTTGTGTGCTGTGCACAAGCACTCCCTAAATGTTATTTAGATAGATGTGACATTAGCATGTTTCCATGTCAATAAGAATAATTCCATAAGTACAAAATATTACACTGTCTGGTTATTATTATAAACAACCACTTCCCAGAAAGATACTGGAAGCTCTTTGGAGAACACAGCACTAAGTTCTTAATGTACTTCTTTGGAGAATGCTGTGTGTCACCAGCACTGTTGACCAGAGTTACGGTTACACCCCAGCTTTCCAACAAGGACAATCCACTGACAATCTCTAGCACTTCACTGTCAGCAGCCAGACGTGGCCAGGACTGTCCAGCGTATGGCCCTCTGTTGAGGTTCTTCCATAAACCCCACAAAGTCTGATAGGGTTGAGGCTACAGAAAAAATTAGTTTTCCTAATGTGGATGTGTCAGGAGTCAGCATTTAAGGAGAAAAATTTTAATTTTAATGTCTATCTTGAAAGAAGTCAATGAGGCAGTTCCTATCAGACACAGGTTGTTCACGGATTGGGGAACTTGAGAAAGCACCAGGTGAGCCAGTGTGGACCCACCCAAGTACTGTACTCTAAAGAGGTCAACCTTGGACCCTCAGAATGAAGGCCAGGGCAGGCACAGGAGCAGAAATCTCTCTGTGTACCCAACAACTTCCTGAAGTCTTGTGGCATTGCTTGTGTTTCTGAGGGTGCCTGGACAGACCCTCCACGGTTACAGCTCGCCATTCTCTCACCTCTGCAAGCCACCTCTGCAGGGAGGTTGAGGATCATGCTCTCAACCTTGGGACACCATCATCACTGCCAGGGCAAGTAGCTCTCTCTTGCTTCTGCTTATGGATTCTCACTTGTCACCACACTCTTCTCCCTCCCCAGTGTGTTTGAGATGTGTCCTCAGGTTTCCTTGTGTGTGCACGCGTATTGTAATTCAAGTGAACAGCGGTGGACATTTGCCCTTCCTCACTGGTGGCTGTGCGTGGCCACGGTTCGTTACTCTTCATGCCTCTACCGGTTTCACGTCAAGAAAACCAAAACCACAAGAGGACAAGCACTTCAGCAGTTTTAGCTGGTGCTGATTTGTGGAGATCCCAAGACCTAGGCAAATGTTACCCATGTTACCTCTGCATGTGTCTCACAGAGAATTAGTCTCCTCAGGGTGCAAATAATGTCAATTGTTACCCGCTCTGGTTTATTGTGAACTGGTTCCAGCTTTCACTCATGAAGCTGGTAGGTATTTAAATCAGATGCTTGAGCACTCTTCCTTTGGATCCTACAAAATCCCTGGATCATGGTGGGGGTCTCAGAGCTCTGAAGAGGTCCCCCAAGTGTTCAGACCTGGGGTCGCCAGGTCAGGGCAGGTACTCAGCAGCATTCACAGGTCTCCCTCTACCAAGAAGGGAGCTCCAGGGCCACTCACACCCTCCACCTGGGGCCTGCCTGGGCCTCCACAGACCCCAAGGAGCAGCACCCATCTTATTCTCTTACCTTGCCGGCTTCCCTCAGCTTTCTGCTTGTTCTTCCCTGACTCTGGGGAGACAGAGGACAGTTTCGGGCTGCAGTCCCTTTTCAAGTCTCCAATACACAGGGCATTTGTTTTGCCTCTTTGTACCATCATAGGGATTCATCTTAAAACCACAAAGGCACCTACTTTTCTTTTCTGGCCATAGCAAGATAGGATGAAGACCTTGAGAATAGAAGCTGGGATATAGCTCAAAGGTAGGGTGCTTGCCTAATTATGCACGAGGCCCTCAGTTCAGTCTTAAACACCACAGAAACAAAACATTAACCAAAGACTTTGGGAACAGTAAATCTGTCTGTCTTCTGGAAGGGGGAAATACCTTTCATTCTTTTTTTTAAAAAAATATATAAGTTGTAGTTGAACACAATACCTTTATTTTTATTTATGTGGTGCTGAGAATCCAACCCAGGGCCTCGACATACTACAAGCGCTGTACCGCTGAGCCGCAGCCCTCAATCTTTCTTAATAAGCCATAAGCCCACTCTTTCCTCATCCCACAAGAATGAACAGAAGGACTTACACAGCACAGCACCCCTGGAGGAGCTGCAGGAGCTGTGGGTTCCTGGACCCATGTGAGTGTTTTTGGATTTTAAGAAGTAAAAAGACATTTTTTTTTCCTTCTCAATCAGTCACTCAACATCCTGTGGCACTGATATTTATTGAGCATATAGTGTACTCTTGATGCTCTGCTAGGCAGCTAGCTAGATACACTCACATTTTATCTTCACAACAATGCTGTGAGATAGAGAAAGTAGTCTCCATTCTCCAAATCAGGAACATAAGACTTAAAAAAAAAAAAATGTTAAGGAACTTGCTCCGGGTCGAGCAGTAGAGCCAAAACTGCCATCTACCTGTGGCTTAGAGTTGAGGTTTATGTAAATACTCTGGGTTGAAAAGACCTTTATATAACCTCATGCTTTTTAGAAAGTCACATTCCAGCTGCAAAACCTTCCTCTGGCTAAAAGTAAGGATGACTCAGCAAGCAAGCTTGGCCTCATTGGGTTATTCTGGCACTTTCTGCTTGCACATACCCCTTCCCCAGGGGATATATTCAAAACCTGGCTCTGCTAAAGCTCTGGGAATTCATCCTGTGGTTGTTTTGCCCTGTGCTGGCCTCCCTGTGCTTTCAGAAAAGCTTGACAAGGAGTTCAGTCACCAGAAACACCAGTCTCACTTTCAGGGAACAGGTTATCGTGAGGCATAGAACTTGCTGGTCAAGGGAAGGCTCTGGAATTGGACCTCCAGCAATGGGTAGCCATGGGCCATCTCCCACTGCTGACTCCGATGCACCCACAAGAGAGACTCCCAGAGGCTGCTAAAGTGTCCTTGACCCGGTTAACTGGTAGAAGCAGGAAGCATCTCCCCTACACTGTATGTTTCCATTCTATGGAAAATGACTCCAAAGGACAGCTCTGTCAGGGTTCTGCCACCCTAGCTGTCTTGTTTCTTCACCAGAGGGACTTAGTGGCTGGGCCAGCTGCCTCTAACATAAGGAAATCATTTCTAATTGGTTGCTGTTTTTTGCATAAAAGATCTTTGAGCAGTAGGTGGGAAGAGGCGTTTCAGTCTGACAGATGGAGAAACTGAGGCAAAGAGTAGATGAAAATTGTGCTTTTCACCAGACAGCAGGAGAGCAGAACGTGGTCTCATGTTTATTCCCCAGACTAGGTTTTTCCACCTGTGACTGCAAGGATCTGCATCAAGTTCATGGCTCTCAAAATTTATTTTAACTTCTTAAACTTCAAAAACAAGGGCCTAGGAATCCAGGGCTCCTGCAGCTGGAGCCCAGGAGGGCTGTGTGAAGGGCCTGGCACTGGAGCAGCACTGCCCCCTGGCGCCCATGCGCATGCATTCCCAGCTCTCCCAAGAGTCTGGGTCCACACTTAACCTCCTCCTCGTTTTCTTCAGACTCACACGCTCCATCTAAATGGGAAGAAGTGGGTAGGCAGGGTACACCCTCCTATGCCCATAACCAGACTTCCTGCCACACAGTGCCAACAGGCTTTGAGAGCCAGAATAACTCTGGTGAGAGGCCATTGTGTGTGGTCACAACTCCAGAAGTTCTGTCCACAAGGGTCTGTCAAACCCAAGCTGAGATTGTCTTGTTCCAGAGAGGTCCTCCATCCACCAAGGACAGGGTCTGAGAAGGGGCTAGTGCTTCCTCTTTCAAAGTCACCAGGGAACTGATGCCCCTGCCTCTTGTCCTTGACTACTTCCCAAATGGGAGCCACTATGGTGATCTGCCTCCCGCCCCTTCCCTCCACACTGGTCACACCCTCAGCTTCCCCCTGAAGCAGTCCCACCCTCCCCAAGCACTTCCACAGTCCCCTCTGGCTGCCCTGCTCCCCTTTCCACAGTCAGCAAACTTCCCTGGGGCAGGCTGAAGGCTTCCACCTTCTGCTCTCCCTGGCTCTTCTCAGTCACCCATGGGAGTGAGAAGTTGGTAAAAGAGGGATGAGCCATATGCAGGCAGGGGGCGGGGTGGGGGGGCAGATTGAGATGCATAGGCTGTTAAACCCTTAAAGATAAGTACTGCCCACTCCCACCCAATTCAATAATTACACAATTTTAAACTGCAAACAAGTGCAAGTCCAACAAAACCCTGGTTTCCTGTGATAATAACTTAATATCTTCTTTTTTAATTTCAAAATTTAATCTTTTTCGGTTTCAAATTTTTGGAGACTTCAGCAGTGCAGGGCACTGTGTCAGGCAATGTGCTTGGGGGTCATGAAGGGAGGTGGGTATGAAATGTGCTTTCATGTGCAGACTGGTCCAGGTCAGGTGTCCAGGCCAGGTGGAGGCTGCCCTCCATGAGCTTATTGGGTTTGCCATCAGCTCAACTCTGGCTCCTACTGGCAAGCCTACAATGAAACCTTTCAACTGCCCTTGGCCTCAGAGATAGAATGGGAAGCAAAGAGTAAACTTAGTGTGTTCTTTTTTGTTTTTTTTACTGTTTTTTATTATGATAAAATTTGCCATTTTAACCAGTTTTTTAGTGTACAATTTAGCAGCATTCATTGCATTCACAATGTAGAGTCCTCACCATTTCCCCCCAAGGTTTCCATCCTCCCAAACAGAAACTCTGCCTAAGCAATAATTCCCTACCCAGCTTTAGCCCTTGTTAACCTCAAATCTACCTCATCTCTATAAATTTGCCTACTCTACATATTTTGCTTAAAAAATGTTTTTAGTTGTAGATGGACACAGTATCTTTATTTTATTTATTTTTAGGTAGTGCTGATGATCGAACCCAGTGCCCCACAAATGGTAGGCGAGTGCTGTACCAGTGAGCTATAACTCCAGCCCTACTCTATATATTTCATTTGTGCAATCATACATTAATTGTCTTTTTGTGTCTGGTTTCTTTCACTTTTAGAATACTATTTTCAAGGTTCATGCATGTTGCAACATGTATGGACCCTCATTTTTTTTTTTAATACTGGGAATTGAACTCAGGGGTGCTTTACTCCCAGCACTTTTTGTTGTTATTTTGTTTTTATTTTTTATTTTGAGACAGGGTCTGCTAAGTTGCTGATGAACTTGGGATTCTTCTGTCTCAGCCTCCCTGTCACTGGAATTAAAGGCATGTATCATGGGGCTGGGCCCTCATTTTTAAAAAAGGCTCAATAATATTCTATTGTATGGATAGACCACATTTTGTTTATCCACTCATCCTTCGATGGGCAGGTGGACTGCCCTTTGGCTATGGTGAATGGTGTCGCTGAGGTATGTGAAGTCTCCTGTTCTGGTCCCTCCAGGCCTTCACTTTTTGTGGACCTAGCCTGGGAGTAGAATTGCTGGGTCATATGAAAATTCTACATTTACCCTTTTAAGGAATCAAAATTATCAGTTTTCCTTATTCTTGGTCATATGTTCTGTTTTGACACTCATTTTCTTTTATGATATTCTTAAACCTCTTCCTTAAATGTATATATTTATTTTTAAGGTCCTGAAATACATTTGAACTGAAATAAAATCTGACTGGGTGGTGCAGGAGGCACGCGCGGACCTCCTGTCCCCATGGCCACCGCCTGCATGACGCTCGAACCGCAGCCCGTGAGAAGTAGGGCAGGAGCTGTGAGACGAGATAAGATCCAAGCCCCTGCAGGTCCCCAAGACACGGGGAGCCCAAGTGCTAGAGAGGCGCTGGAGACCGGGCCCTTGCGCTGGCGGCGGCCGCCAGGGGTCGCAGAGGAGCGCGCTCGCCTGAGTCCACCACCTCGGTGGTTTCGCCCTACCCTCGGAGCCATCCGGGGAAGAGGCTAGCAGAAGTTTTAGCGCCGGCAGAGGGTACCGGAGTCCAGCGCCGCCTCGGACGTCGGGACTAGAGCCTGAAGGGTTAGTCTTGTCTTGGCCCTCAGAAAGGTTTGCAGATGTTGACCGAACCCGATTTTCTGCAGACTGTGGCCCTGCCCTTTGTCCCCCAGGATGCTTTGTGCCTGTTTCTCTCAGAGGTCGTGGGTTGCTATGGGGGCAGGAGCATCGCACAGAGCAGAGCCTGCGCATGCAAACCACGCCTTCCCCATGACCCTGCGATGGCCCCAATACTAAGAGAAGATTCAATGGAATGAAGGAATGAACAAATTAAAATGATGTTCCACTTGATGGTGAAAGAAGTGAACCTACAGGGTTTATTGGCACCTAATAAACCCAGGTTCAAGGACTGGAGATAACCCTCCTTAAATTCATTTGAAGGAATGTAGTGTAATAATTCAAAAATAGTTAAAAAGAAAATTACTTTGGGCAACATTTAAGTCTAAAATTCTTGGACATTGGACAATCTGTTGTGGGTACCAGCAGAAAGCCAACCCCGGGGTGGGGGTATGCTGGGTTTTGGGTACACCCATGGCCGGTAGATTAGGGACTGTGGATTAGGGGCCAGCCTAAACCTACACCCAGATTGGGTAATGAAAAGGGAAGGAGAGAAATGGAGTCTCAGGAGGGCTCAGGTTCAAGGGCTGCCTGAGTGTGGGAAGAAGGGGTACAAGCCACAAGCCAACACAGGCAAAGTCCCAGGATTGCTCACCTGTTAGATCTGGAGCTGATACTTGAGGTGTGAGTCAAACTGATTCAAAGGCTCATATTAGCTGCAGAACTGGAATCTCATTTACCCACAAACCCAAAGGGTAGAGAAGTTTGCAGGGCAGGGGGAAGGTGCTGTCTGGCTCATGCGGTTCTTAGTGACCATGTCTGTACCATCCTCCACACTTTCCTGGGGTTTATCAAGTGCTGTGGCAGAGGGAAGACCAAGTTCTCTTTTATGATTGTAAATCTGGGGTTAACCAAGAGCTGAGGGTCTGTCTATGAGGACATCTGACATAAGTGGGCAGAGGGCAGGGGATAAAACATTCTGCATGATACATCCCAGAAAACTTGGTAAGAACTGATTTGGGAACTTTTCTATAGAAAAGCCTATAGAAACTCTTGCTTTGGCCAAGATGTGTATAGAAAAGTTCACTGTAGCATTATGTGCAAAACTATGAAACTGTTAACCAGAAAAATGGATACAATGTTGTGGCTGCAGCCATCTATTCTGAACTCTTGTACAGCCCCCTCCCACACTAAACAGGGACTGAGCTGCAAATGCAAGAGCAAATTGGGAAATTATATTGTATGTCTTTTAAAGCTGAGTGGAACATTGCAGCTTGTGCCTTATACTCTCTTGGATCACTTTCTTTGGAAGAAAAGCTGACTACCATGACAGGAGGACACACAAGCAGTCCTCATTTAAGTTCACACGGCAAGGGACTAAGTCCTCAATGTCAGCTTGCTAGTGACATTAGAAAGCCCCCTGGAAGCAGATCCTCCAGCCTCGTGTAAATTGGCTATAGCTTGGGCCAACATCTTCAGCCAGAACGTGTTAAACTGCTCAATTCCAGAGCAGCAAAAACTGAAATAATGTTATTGTTGCCAGGATTGAGGGGTATTTGCTATGCAAAAATGGATAACTAATGTTATGTAATCATACAGTAAAATTTTAGTCTGCTTGCTTACAAAGGGGTTCAAAATGGCCATGTCATACAATTCTTGAGTTTAGTTAGTGCATGCAGATACTTCACAAACACTTGTTACTGTATTTTTCTGATTTGTTCCCTTCCCTTTTATCTCCCTTGATATGTAGGAGTCCTTCTCAGTTTGAATATTGTCTAAATTATTCATATTCAGTAGGAAGAGTTCTTGGAGTTAAGATCATTTCTTGCAGTATAAATTGGAAAGACCATCTCCTCTTCAGGGTGTGAGCTGTAACCAGGCCAAATAACCCAAATCAAAGTCACAAAAGGTGAATTATCAGCAGTGGTCTCCACTCCATTTCTCCTGAGGGATGGAGTCTAACTGGGTATCAAGGAAGTGGAGCTTCAGGTGAGAAAAATGCCAATCAAAATGCCAGGAACCTCTGCCCCGCAAACTTGAGGATAAAGGATGTCATTTTGGTGTCTGAAAGAACTGTGTTCCTGAAATGTTGATTACAATGTTATTTGTTTTTAAGTAAAACACAATATAGATCTATACAATCACATCAGATTTACCCCTGGGAAGGAAAAGTTGACAGTTCCCACTGCTCCCAACATATTCCCTGATTTGTGAAAAGCAGGGGAAAAAAAGCTCATATTAACACAAGGGGCCATGCCACAGTACACATCAATTCATCTACCACTTGCCAATTTGCTGAAGTCCCTGGATTATTCAAAATACAGGAAACTTCTCTGTGCCTGCCCTGTAATGAAGCATGTATTTAAATATGAAAGAGACCAGCAAAATTCAAAGACAATGGATTTAAATGAGAAAAAAAGTTGTCTTTGCCAGAGTAACTCAGTTACTACTTCATAGTTAATAAAGACATTCACCCAAGGGGATTGTGTGTCCTGCTTTTTACTTATAAATAACCAGGGTGAAAGGCTGCTCCTAGTGACTTCCTGCTTAGTCAGGGAGCTAAGTGGAGTCTACTTTGAAAAGAAAGATGTTTGTTGACAGAGTCTAGCCCTCCTACCTCAGCTAGCCCCCCATCCTCTGCTACTTGTCACAGATCTCTGCTCTCAAAGGGGTCAACTACCTGCTGTCACTACCCCAAAGAATTTCAGGAAGCATGAGTGGCATTAGATTCTATCAGGTCCATAAATGCAGATTCTAAAACAGAGGTTGTATGACCAGTAGTGTTTCAGGATACCCCCTTGAGAGCTGGGAGCAGAACAAGGTCTCCTTTTACTTGACCCGCCTTTGCTAATACAAGGCTGGCTGGCTGGGTTCAGCGCCCTATGGGGCAAATGTTCAGGCCAAGAATAGTCTTCATTCTTCCCATGGAACTTTGAAAGGCTTCTAAAGAATACAGGAAATTGTTGACCATTACTTTCTGCTGCAAATGGCTGACACTCAACTTCCAACATTCTATGGATTAATACCAAATTACAGGAAACCAAATTTGCTTCTTTATAAGCAGCAATGACTGACAAAAACAAAACACCTCAACATTATCTGCAAAGAAGAATGGCTTCCCCCCATCCCCAGGGTTGAGGGCAGAACCTGGGGCCTTATGTGAACCAAACCCTCAACCACGAATGGCATATTTTCTAAATCCCATTCCTAACACCTTTCCTCTCTTGACCAGTTACCTTATTTCCATAGTGCCCTAATGTTGACTCCAAAGGCTATTATCTGTATACAAAGAAGCAGGTCTGGTAGCATCACAGCACCACTTGCTCTTACTGAAAACGAATGAACCATCCATCACTCTAAACTGGGAAGAAACCATTCTTTTTGTTCAGCCAGGGCCTCAGATCATCATTTCCACTGCCATTCAAGGAGGGACTATGTTCAAGCGAGCAGTCACAATGTAATAGTTATTCAAAATGGGCAAGAGGTATGGGCTCTATTTGTTTGCTAAAGAAATGAATATCCAAAAAAGGGAGTAACAAGCCCAGCTCACACAGAGCTGAGATTTGAACACAGTGTTTTCTACTTCAGGCTGACCACTCTAAGTAGTGAGCAACTGCTTCTGCTAACAACTCTAGAACCTCATATTTATTGAGTGTGGCAGTATAATACAGGCCCCTCTGTCACCAAGACCAGTTCAAATTCTGTCCATTATTGTTTATTGGTTAAGTCACCAAACATCTCCCAACTACATCTGTAGGATTCTCTATCAAGGATTAAAGATAATGTATGCAAATTACTTAGCTAACTGTCTAAAACAGTGTTATAGTTAGTGATGACAAAATGGTCAGGGAAAAAATCCTGAATGATAGGGGACTTCTGCTTACACCAGCAAGCTATTTATTAGAAAGAACTTCAATTTACTGGAGTACCAATTTTTTCTTCCAAATCAAGTAGGCTCTCACAGCAGTCTTCATTAGGACTTTCCTTAGGGATTCAGCAATAACTGAATGTTAACCATACTACTGAAAGCAATGACCCATGAGGTGAAGAGTACTAATAATTAACTGGAGCTTGGGAAGAGTGCTGACCTTTTAATTTCATGCTTAGAACTATTTCATAATGATCATGGTAACATAGCAGTACATTTATGTATTTTAAATCAATACATATAATTATGGATACATTCTCAAAAATATTTTAACAAAAAGGGTCAAGTTTGGAGACAGTGATCCATGCAATTGTCTGGTCAACACTGCTCTTGCTGCACTATGATAATTGTGCTATTTTTCTTCTTTCTTTTTCTTACCTGACTTTATTCCTAGTTCAGTTTCTCTAAAAGGTTACAATGTAGCAAATGTGAAGCTAATGAGTCTGAGAGGAAAAAGTCAGCTATCTTCAGATTTCGAGATTATAACCCACACTACAAATTAAGCAGTGTCAAATTAATGACTGATGTAAACTGTTAAAGTTAAACCGGATAGGGAAACAGATCCCATTCCAGTAGGTGGCAGTAAAACCCTACCACAAGGTTTCCAGCAATTCAATGAGATCAGTGCCTACCCGGTCAACCCTACTTGAGTAGCAGAAAGAAAATCACTGAAATCCTTAGACTGTCTAGTGAAAATAGCCTCCATATGCTTGAAAATCCTGGAGTCAATAATCAAAAGACCCAATAAAGCTACAGAGGTCCTTATATCAACTCAGGTATCCTGGATACATCTTTTACATGGATAAAAGATGTAACGAAGTTTCATTAGGGTGGGGTAATTGAACAATATATCATAATATGTAAAATTTTAAAATGGCAACTATATTCCAGAGGCAGCAGTATTTCACCAGTTAGGCAAGCAAGTCTATAACAACTTTACTTTGCATTCTCCGAATTCAGTAGATTGTTCCTAATACCCTAAAACCAAACCTTTGTGGCTAGGGGTGGTAAACCCAACCTCTTAACACAAGGAAAAAAAAAAAATTCCAACAAACAAAAATCTTGCTATTGAAAGTTATTCCTGAACATATGATTTTGGTCTTGGAATAACAGCCACACTTAGGTGTGGGGGAGGAGAATCACAGTTCTACCTTGCATGGGACATGCATTGCATACTTCTGAGCATATTTAGTAAGCATATAATCCCACTGAGATTTATTTTTTAAAAAGTCACACATAGCTGAACGCAGTGGCACATGCCTGTAATCCCAGAGGCTTGGGAGGCTGAGACAAGAGGATCGAGGCACTAAACTGTCTCTAAATAAAATATAAAATAGGGCTAGGGATGTGGCTCAATGGCCAAGTGCCCCTGAATTCAATCCCCGGTACCACCCCCAACACAAAAAAACCCAACCAAACAAAAAACAAAACCAAAGTCACTTATACCATCATGTTTTCTATAAACAGATGACATTTTAGGATTAACAAAACTTCCAAAGCAATTTTTAACCAGTCATAGCCATCAAATAAGATAAATGTAAAAGTCTTATAAATCATATTTTTAATGCCTCATGAGATCTACTTTTTAAAAAAATGCCTGGAGAGGTGGGGTTTAGGTAAAGTTAAGATTCTATGAGTGATTTTAGTAATATATGTTTAAAATTCAGAACTAAATATCTTTGAAAAGTAGTAAGTATCTTTCAAGCATACTCATTTGTTTGAATACTTCAGCCTCTGAATTAAAAACAGTGGCTAATTAGAATGGTCACTTACTTCTGCTTGGGTCATTAATTCAAAAAAGTAAACAAACGTGGTGAAACATTTTGACCTTAGTAAAAATAAATTATATCTACTTCTTTTCAGTTTTTTTTTTTTTTTTAAACAAAAAAGACCAGTTTCCAGAAACTTGAGAGTACGCCCTAATCCAAATGGGTTGGAAATTGTTCTGCAAGAAATGACTATTAGTGAGACAGAGATGCTATAATCCTTAAATTAGAAAATTAGCATATACGCATTCTAAACAAGACAAGCAACACCAGAGATATCACTGTGGTGGAGGCAAATTCAAGTTGAAAATTTTCTTCCCAAACATATTCTACTTTTATATCAACTTTAAAATATTTAAGACTCTGCACTCTATTACATCACAACATTGTTTATTATGTGAATTTTTTACAATACAACAAAAAATACAGAAATGCAATATATGGAATACAGCTAGATGCAGAATGGTGACTTTTTTTTTCTCTTTAAGAGGACATGATGCCCATTTCTAATAAAATAAAGAGACTGCATATAGGTAGAAACAGGTTGGTCGTTAGCTTCACAATTTGCCTAGAAATGATCTATAAATGCATTTTCCCCCTGCTACTTACCATAAAATGTAAAAAGGGAGTTAAAGGAAAGTTTCCTTGTTGGTTCCTACCATATGAAAGATGCTATATTCTATTTTAGCAGGGCAAATATATGGAAAATAACTAAATTAAATGTTATTACAAAAATGAAGCAGTAATGAGATTCTGGCTAAAGAGGGCACTAAATGAGAATAATACATATTTAAAGAATCCAAAACAAACAAAAAAGAGGTTGTTATAAAAAAGCTCTAGGTGCACTGTAAGCATATAGGTTTTTTTTTTTTTCCATGTGTACTTTTAAACAATGGAAGTGTCAAAAAATAGGGTCAACTGTGTTAGACTAAATTACATTATTGTATAGGCTGCACTGAATGGAACCTTTGTATTATAATTATCATAGAGAAGCATAGTTTGCATCAAATTATGGCAATTTATCCTCGATGAAAACCTTCCAGAGTCCTTTTATTTTGGAATATCCTGTAAACAATCAAACCACCAGAACATGATTGTACAACAGTAAAATGTTCTCTTGCATTAAATTGAAGATATCTTTTTAATAAAAATTAAAAAGAAAAAAGAAAAAAAAAAGAAAATGTAGAAAGGTACTTAGAGCTGTTACTTTCTAAGTACATAACACCCTAGACAATTCAAGGCATCTTAATCTCCATCAAGAACAACAACAAAAAAATAATTTTTGTCATGCTGTTAAATCCATCATTATGGATAAAACTGGTGCAAATTGGTCAAACGGATCCAACAAACACTGATGTCCAAGCTGGCATATTGGCAACTAATACATAACTGGTGGTCAATAGAGAGTTTAAAAGATCTTCCCTTTCTTCTTGTTCTTTTCCAAGGTCCTAAGAAGTGATTAGAAGAAAACAACTGAGACCAGTGACCATGTTATAAATATAAAAGACAAAATATGGTAGCAATTGCTAATCTAACTATATGTTAGATTTTCAAACATTACTTTGTCATTTAAAAAATTATAAGATATGGAAGAGTAAACTATGAAGATAATGCTACTCTATATTAATACTTTTAAACAATCAAATGTTAGACAAAATTTCAGGATAAGCATTAAAAATATAATAAAACCATTTTAATAATTTTAATATTGAGAACAATTCTTCCCAAATGAAATACCATATTTGAAAAACTTCAGCTAAGGGTGGTGCCCTTTTCTCCTGCTGCTATTTACATTATGAAGTATATTTGCTTTTTCAAATATATTTTTCATTATCTTTGAGCCAATAATTAGTAGAAAGACAGTAAAATTAAGGAGGAGGAATAAATTAAAAGAATTAGAAATTAGATGTACATCCTCATATCTTAAGCTTATCTTAAAGAAGCCATTCGATGCAATTAAAACATACCTAAATGTATAAAAACCTTTGTAACATCATTGTTTTCCATGCATACCAAATTCTGAAAATAAAAATTATATCCAACAATGGGGTGGGGGAGGGAAGTAAGATATCAGTTAAGGTGAGTTAACTGGAGAGAACATTTATGGTGCTTTAAAATTGTAATTATAAATTATAGATTAAGTCATGGAAAATATACTGGAAAAATACACTAATGAATCCATGCATATAAAAAGACCCATGAAAGCAACTGTGTGTGAGAATGCATGATAGTGGGTGATAACTTTTAAAATAGTATTCTGATGTTTTTAAAATAGGGAAATAATTATTTAAAACATTAATAAACATATTTCTTAAGAATTTGATATGAGTTACCTCGAAGAGTTCTGTTGTTCTAAAATACGTTGTTGAGCTTCCCAGTTTGCTTTCTCCTCCTCAAACTGACGACGTTTTTCTTCTAATTCCTTATGCTGGGCTTCCAAATTCTTTTTCATTTGCTCATGGCGTCGCTGCAGCTAAATCACAGTATGATATATAAATAAAAACTGTTTAAGAAATCAGAGGCAGAAGAATGTTCCATCCAGGTGTCCTAATATTAAGAGTATGGGCACTGAGTCATACTGCTATAAATTCAGAGTGCCACCTGGAAAGCACTGGTGAGGATTCCTCCTATTATAGGACCTGCCACCCAAAGTACCAGTGACCCAAGAAAATAATCTTGGGAGACATAAAAAAAATGCAACAAACTTACAGTTGTGTAGCACTTTATAATGGACAATTATTATCTTATTATCTCATTTTTCTTTATTCACAAATATGTTGGAGGCTGAACAGGAAAAACATCATTGCTTCCACTGTACAGATGAGGAAATAGTTGCAGAATTTAAGTGACTTGCTCAAGATCACTAGCCAGAAAGTGACAATACTGGACTTGAACCTAAGTCTCCTAATTCCAAGTTCAGAAAGCTGAGACAGGGGGAAAGAAAGAAGATAGTTAAGGACCTAAGAGCCCCAAGATCCCAGTAATGGGTAATATCCCCTAATTCTTGTAAAGAAGTGGTTCTCAAATACTGGTCTTCATACGAATCATCTGGGGTGCTTTTTAAGAAAACAGAATCCTGAACCTATCCATATATACTGAATTTGAATCTTTGGGTGTTATGTCTAGAAATATAGGTTATAAATAAGCTCCAGTGATTCTAATGTAGATCGTCCTTACTACACTAAGAATTAATGCTGTAAAGAACTGCTGGCTGAGAGACGGAAAACACTCATGCAAATTAACTTCAGAGCCAAAGACCTTAAGTCTAATGGATCATTAGGTAAATAATAATTTCATAAGAAACTATTCAATCTATTTCTGAATAGTCAATAAATAAAAAAATCAGATTGAATCTTATTATACCAAATGCCCAAGGACAATTCAACATCTTCAATTGTTCAGAAATTATGTTCTATTGAAGATTTAACTGGTGAGTTAACACCTTGAATTTGGATTATAATTCTGTATACAATTTTTCTTATTTTACAAATCCACAAAAACCAATGTCGTATTTTTTGCTATTGCAAACACTTCAAACAATTCCTACAAAAGAAAGTCACCTACAATACATTTAAACAAAGATAAGTCAAATCTGAGGTGAAATCTTCCCGATGACAGTAAGTTAGTAAGAAAAAAACCAGAAAATAGGAACATAAGAACATGCTTCCAGTTATTTTTAAATGCCAGGGAATCATGCATAAACAAATGATGCTGGATACTATTTACTTCTAGTATTAGGAAAGAGAGGGACAACAATAAGGGAAAGATTTTAAATGAAAGATTTAAATGATATGGTTCTATTTCTTAAGCTGGGCAATAGGTTCATAGACATTCATTATTCGTAAACTTACATTTATAATACAAATAAGTAATTATGTTCTGTGCTAACTGCATGTAAAAAATAGTATAGGTCATAATCCCTTCCCCTCAAGAAACCTTTGGGGTCAAATGTGTATTGAAGTTCAGAATTTTTCAGATATTAAAGAAGCGATAACTACTTAGGAAGAGGCATATGATATTTAAAAACCTTCTGGGCTATCTGGGCAACAACTATAATCAAATATCTTGTTTTTTTTGCTGTAAAATATGAAAATATTCACAAAAGCAGGAAAAAAACCGCATAGTTCACATTGCATTTTACACTTTGAAATTGTGGAAAACAGGACTGTGGACCTGTCTTGTGATTAAAAGCAAATTTAAGCACAGAGCAGGTTCAAATGCTGGCTTATGACTATGTAGCACACCCAAGTTAATTAACCTTCCTCTCATCTATAAGAGGAGATGAGCAGTAACACCCACCTTTTAGGGATGTGGTATGGATTAAATGACATAATACACAAGAGATGCTTGGTACTATACCTAACACACTGTACTGCTAGGTATAAGTGGCTACACCCACAAATATTTCCAGGAGAATGAATTTGAGATAAACAGTATTAAGCAAGGCTAAAATTGTTTTATTTTTTAAATCTATATTATGTTTATATACATTATTACTCCAGGATGTGCTTACCAACATCACTGTGGTAAGCACATCCTGGAGTGGAGTTCCATGAAACAAGAGGAATGAGCACACTATTTATCTAATAGACTTAAGAGTATAGGGGGGAACTTGGCTCAGATCTCTTCCTAGGTCCCTTTCAATGCTAAGATTCCGTCTTTCAAAAAATAATTTCTCAAAACTGCTCTTACCATTCACAGTAATTATGAAAATTCCAGAAGGGTTCTTTGGCTACTGTTTCACAATTGCCTGTTTATGACATTTACTCTTAGGAACAGATCCTAAACTATGTCCACATTAAATTAAGTTAAACTATATTTAGATTTTTTTAGTGGAATCTCATTGTGGAGATAAACTAGTTGGCTCATTATTATTACTTTTTCCCCCTTCTCTGGATATGGATTTTTCATATTATCCATTAGTGAGGAGGTAAAGACTCAAAAGGATTTACTTAAATAATAGGCTGATAAACAAAGAATAAACTTAACTCCAAAATATCATCTTAATAACTTATAATAACCATAAGAGATTATTAATTCTTAAGTAAGGGTATATGCCTGCACATTTTGATTGGCTCAATAATTCGGAGGGCACTATTATTGGCATTTAGTGGCAGGTAACAGGGATACTAGTCCTGCAGTACTCAGTAGTTTTAAACCAAGAGGAATTATCCTATAAATTAAACTCACAACAAATATGATAATAATAAAGGTTTTCATAAGAAATTACAAGAAAAGCCCAGTAATGAAGGAGAAATGTTTCAGATTAAAAACATTTCCTTGAAGTTATTGGATACTTATGTCACTCTCTATCTGTGGATTAGAGTACTTTTGGTTATGTCTTTAAAAACCTTTAAAAAAAAAAAAAAAGGTTTCAGTATTTTCTTCAATAATTACAAAAGCAATGAGATCAACTGTAAGGATGTAACACAAGAGATCTGAATATCTTTTAAAATATATTTATATACAAACATTATTGGTGAAGACACAGAAAGGGATCTTGCTAAATTTTATCACTAAACATTATTTTTAAAATATTTCTTGTTACTGTCATTTCATATATTTAAAAACAATTATTATTTTATAATTTTTAATTATAGATCAATGTAATTTATGTTGAGCAAACCTATACTGACTTACTTATTCTGGGCTAAGAGTTTTCTTTTCCTTTCTTTTTTTTTTTTTTTTAAATCCAGAAACATTTTTTATTTGTAGTTGACACAATACCTTTACCTTATTTACTTATATGTGGTGCTGAGGATTGAACCCAGGACCTTGCATGTGCTAGGCAAACACTCTAACGCTGAGCCACAACCCCAGCCCCAAGAGTTTTCTTTTCTTAGACATCTATCAAAGCAACTATTCTAAGGATTCTTACCTTAAGTGTATGTTTTTCTCCATCTTTTCTTTTTTGTCACTTTAATGAAGTAAATTCTGCAAGGTTTTTTGTTTGTTTGTTTTTTAAATTAATAGAAACTACATGTAAGACTCAACATCTAGAGGGATTTCAAGACAGCAGATATGTGTGCTGGGATACTTTGGCACCACTGTGTACCAATGTTAGAAATTATTTTGATACTACAGTATAAAGTAAGTCCAACTTATTTAGAAAATAATATTCCCTCATTTTCTCCCTGGCCACTGTCCATTTTATTCAGGCATGCCCTTAATTCAATTAAGGTTCTTTCTCATACACATATAAATAAATTTGTTCAATTATTATTATCCTAACACTAAGTTTTTATTCTTACATTCATTCATAACTCTGACCTTCAGTTTTTTTAATACTGATTATATAGAATGGCTTATATTTTATTTTTCATAATTAAAAAAAAGCTTTTCATTGCTCATTGTAATTCTAATATAATTCATTATAAGTATTCTGCCTACTATATTAGGTCTCCCTACCTAGCACACTGTGCCCAAGCACTTCAATATTGAGTATATATTATTTTATAATAAATATAATACTTGTTTTGATTTCCCCAGTTTGTTACACTAGGGCATGAAATTAATTTCGAAAAAAAATGCATGCAGAAAGTTTGTATTATTATTTTAAAAAGAATACTATGTCTGTAAGAGATTACCTCAGCTTCAGAGTCCTTCAATTTTTGAACTTTTTCTTTGACCTTCATTTCAAACACCTGCTCCATCTCCATTTCCATCTTCTTCATCTTGGCTACATGCTCCCTCCTTTCTTCTTCCATTTGTGCCAGAGGGCTCCTGTCATGAACATTAAGAATAATCATTAAACATTTATAAATGAAAATTGTAATACAAAAGTCTAAAAGAACTGGCGAAACACGAGATGCTACAGATGCCATTATTATTTATATGTACCAAATAATTTTTGAAATATTTTACTTACATCATTCTAAGTGATACATGACATGGATTCATTCATGAACAAATGAGATAAAATCCTCAGAAACGTGATATTTTAAACTTGAACTTCCTTCTGTGACAATTTACCAATAAACCTCAATCACTAGTACATAATTATTATAAGAAAAGAACTAAAATAACCAAAGCAACTATGAGATGGTTCTTTGTGAACATCAACTGTAATGATGACACATAAAAGGACCTGTAAAAGGAAAATAAGAAACATTTTCCAAATACATTCACCAAATGAAAAAATAGGAAAAAAATTAATTTTGAATTTTCTTTAAAGAAAAACTGAAAGCATGAAGAAAGTGAGTTAATATATGAAGCATATTTTTAGTTCCACTAAAATTTGAGGAATTTCTGCAATGACTACTGATATCACAATTACATTTTATTACAAAAATTCCAACTATTTGATAACTGAACTGATACTGTTAAAAACAACTACTAGTCAATACTTAGAACACTATTCAGGTTTGAAGAAAATATTTCTAGGCTTTTTAAAATTTTTTAATGTTTTGAAAATTCATCTTTATTTCAAATGTTTCAGTGTTTTAAGTTTTAAACTGTTCAACGGCTTATACACATACACATACGCATGCATGAAATAATAAGGATCAAATATTTTGATATTTATTTTTGAAATGCCAGAATAGGCATTAAGCAGAGTTAAATAAAAAAAATAATAAAAAAACCAGTTTATTTAACACGCGCATGAAAGTCCATGGGCTCAAATCTCTTTGCATAATAATGTTATCATTTTTCATATTGTAAAATATTTACCAATATTTACAGGTAAATTATGTTAAAGCTAGCATATTTAAACATATGAGAGAATGCCAAAATATCCAGGGGAGAATGATGAGTGGGTTCTGTTGTTTTGTAGATATCTGAAAATTAATGAATACACTGAAGCACCTTGAAAGAAGGCAAGCCCTTTTCTGATTTTGTTGATAAACACATTTATTTATTTTGACTCTATAAAAAATAATTTACAACTTAAATGGGTGATTTTATCTCAACAGTGGTAATTTTTTTTATTTCCCCAATAATTTAAAGGGCCAATCACTTTAACCTTGATATGTCACACTCTTATGGTGACCTCTCATTAGGCTGAGTATTTCTGACCATACACAGTTCTCTTCTTTCCTATCAAGGAGGACGACAAAAAAGCTTAGACAGAAAATACTACATGAGACAGAATATCAGCTACTACCATTTTTTCTTAGCAAAAAGGAAGAATAAATATGTACTGCTTTGATGAAGATGATTTGTTTATATAATGTAAAGTGTTTAACCTAAGAATACTTCTTTCCAAAGGAAAACTTCCTTCTATTTGGAAATTTACAGTGTATTTTACCAACTAAACAACTAAGCAGAAGTTATGAAAATAAAACTAAACCAGACATACTAACTTAGAACAAGAGCCTGCATTTATAAAGCAGTGTTTGTTGAAGAAATTTTAAAGTGTACCATTATTTCATTACAAGGTGATGACAGCCAGGTGCAGTGGTGTTTCCTATAATCCCAGCTACCTGGGAAACTAAAGCAGGAGGACTGAAAAGTCCTAGACCAGTCTGAGCAGCTTAGTGCAGCCCTTTCTCAAAACTTTAAAAAACATAATAAAATAAAGGCTGGTCTTACATCCAGCAAAATTAAGCTTTAGATTTGATGATGAAATTAAAACCTTCCATGATAAACAGACGTTAAAAGATTTTACAACTCAAAAGCCTGCACTACAGAAAGAAAATCCATGAAAATCAGTAAAGGGAGGTTTTACTCTAAAGGAAAAACAAATCAAAGGACAAACCAATTCAAGTTAAATACCAAAAAATAAACAGAAATGGCTGGAAATACAAATCATGTCTCAATAATAACCCGGAATGTTAATGGCCTAAAATCATCAATCAAAAGACATAGACTGGGGCTGGGGATGTGGCTCAAGTGCTAGCCTGGCATGCGTGGGGCACTGGGTTCGATCCTCAGCACCACATAAAAATAAAATAAAGATGTTGTGTCCGCCGAAAACTGAAAAAGTAAATACTAAAAAAATTCTCTCTCTCTCTTAAAGAAAAAAAAAAAGACACAGACTGGCAGATTAGATTAAAAAAAAAAAAAAAAAGACCCAACAATATGCTGCCCAAAATGTAGTGTCTACATTCATTAAACATACTCTTCTCAGGTTCAAGAGTCAAATAGACTATAACACAATAATTCTGGTTGACTTAACATACCTCTTTCACCACTGGATAGATCATCCAAACTAAAGCTGAACAAAGAAAATATGGATCTCAATAATACAATCAATAACTTAGACTTAACTGACATATATAGAATATTTCATCCTTCAATGAACGAATAGAATACACTTTCTTCTCGGCAGCACATGGATCCTTCTCTAAAATAGACTATATATTATGCCTCAAAGCTATTCTTAGCAAATACAAAAAAAGTAGAGATACTACCCGCATTTTATCAGATCATAATGGAATGAAATTAGAAATCAATGATAAAATAAAAAATAAAAGCTACTCCAACACCTGGAGACTAAATAATATGCTACTAAATGAGCAATGGGTTGCAAAAGACATCAAGGAGGAGATTAAAATATCTTTAAAGGTGAATGAGAACATAGATACAATGTATCAAAATCTCTAGGACACTATGAAGGCAGTACTAAGAGGAAAGTTCATTGAATGGAGTTCATTCCTTAAAAGAAGGAAAAAGTCAACAAATAAATGACTTAACATTACATCTCAAAGCCCTAGAAAAAAAGAAGAAGAAATCAACACCAAAAGCAGTAGAAGACAGGAAATAATTAAAATCAGAGCTGAAATCAATGAAATTGAAACAAAGAAACAATTGAAAAAATTGACAAAATAAGAAGTTGGTTCTTTGAAATAATAAGTAAAATTGACAGACCCTTAGCCATGCTAACAAAGAGAAGGATAGAGAAAACCCAAATCACTAACATACGTGATGAAAAAGGAAATATCACAACAGACACTTCAGAGATACACAAGATAATTAGAAATTAGTTTTTAATTGTTTTTAGTTGTTGATGGACACAATTTCTTTGTTTTATTTATTTATTTATTTTATATGGTGCTGAGGATCCAACCCAGTGCCTCACGCATGTAGGGCAAGCACTCAACCACTGAGCCACAACCCCAGCCCCAGAAATTATTTTGAAAACTTATACTCCAATAAAATAGAAAATATTGAAGGCATTGACAAATTTCTAGAGTCATATGATCTGCCCAAATTGAATAAGGATGATATATTTCAAATGATGAAACAGAAGACGCCATCAAAAACCTACGAACCAAGAAAAGCCCAGGACCAGATGGATACACAGCCATGTTCTACAAGACCTTTAAAGAAGAACTAATACAAATAGTCCTCAATTTATTTCAGGAAATAGAAAAAGAGGGAGCACTTCCAAATACATTCTATGAGGCCAATGTCACCCTGATTCCAAAACTAGGCAAAACACATCAAAGAAAGAAAACTTCAGACAATATCTCTAATGAACATAGATGCAAAAATTCTCAATAAAATTCTGGCAAATTATGAGGATGCCCTTAGGCCTGAGCCTAAGTAACTCCATTTTAAATACTCCAGTTTGAAACCTGCAATCTCATCACGCAGGGCTAACAGAGCCCTCCATTGTGGCCCTCAAGCACAAACAAGTCCACCGGACCAGATGTTTTAACCCCAGGGTAAATGATGTCACTAAGAAATCCAGTGGCAGTTGATAAGGATTAAAAGGAGGGGAGGGGCAAAAGCCCCAAAATTTAGTATAAGTAAAAGAGCAAATGAACATACATTCAGCCAGCCTATACTGATGCCCTCATGCTGAGAGCCTGATGAGGACCTGGACTGACATCCCGACACTTTTCATTGTTTGCTTATCCTCTGCATCTGCCTCACTGCTCTCAAACTCTACAGCCACAACTTGACCTTGGTAAGAGCCACAACTTCTCCCTATGATCCTCTCCTCAGCTAGCCATCAGCTCCACCCCAGAAGCCTGCCTTGGTTCCTGATCTGATCACCGTGATCTGAGTGTGCATCTGTTGGATTTAAAGCCTAAGGCTAGAGACTTTTGATCTGACACTTGAACTTAGTGTGCAGAGAGAATGTCTGTCATTAGCTGGTCATGATTAAGTGTGTCTGCAGTGCTTAGAATTAATCTAGAATTGTTTACTGTGAATTAATTAATCCTGAATTGTTTGCTGTGAATTCATTGTGTCTACTGCAGTGCCTAGCATTAAGGATTGTCATTTTCTTGATTAAGAACCTATAGAGTGAAACTGTATGAGTGATTTGAGTGAAAAAAGCATTGCAAAGGGCAGAAGCATGTGGACATTCTTTATTTCTCCCCCTGGACTGCATAAGTGGCACCTTTTGACCATCGAAACACAAATCGAATACAAAAACATATCAAAATGATTGTGCACCACGATCAAGGATCAAATGGGGTTCATCTCAGGTTACTAGGTTGGTTCAACATACAGAAGTCAATAAATGTAATTCATCACATCCATACGATCATCTCAATAGACGCAGAAAAAGCATTGGACAAAATAAGCACCCCTTCATGTTCAAAACACTAGAAAAATTAGGGATAACAGGAAAATATCACAACACTGTAAAAGCTACCTATACTAAGCCCCAGGCCAACATCATTCTAAATGGAGAAAAATTGAAAGCATTGTCTCAAAAAACTGGAAAAAGACAGGGATGCCCTCTTTTACCATTTCTATTTAAAATACTTCTTGAAACACTGGCCAGAGCGATTAGACACATCAGAAAACTTGGGAGCAGACAAAAG